AAGTTAAAATATGCTCCCCAAATAAAGGTTGCGGTTTGTGCGTTGAAGCTAGAGGAATTGAACTGATTGAAAGTTGTAGCCGTCGCTGGTCGATGCGCTGCAGTGTATGCAGACAGGGCAGGCCAGTGCTATGTATGTGTGTATAATTTCCACTATGCCTCCTCCAGATGGGATTTGGGAGAAACGAATCTGGATTATGAAGCATTTTAGGAGGAATGTGATGGCATGTCATACTTTCCTCGATGAAGCAGCAAAATTTACTCTTTGGAGAGGGGCCGTGAAATTCGGAAGGGACTGAATGCACAATTGAGTGCATTAGATTAGTAATTATTCACTGCCAGATTTTGATGCCACTTATTTCGGTTTCTCAAGTGGCGCAATGCATTGAAAGCAAAATAAATCGTTCAGATTTATTTCCAATTGCCTTTAAATAATAACCTGAATGTGACTCGAAATTTGTCACATCTATTGACTTTAAACATATTGGAAGGAGTCACAGTCTGGTGATTTGGAATCCTTATTTACGAAATCGCCATAACCTCAGTCAATGGTGTTGACATCAATCCACAATATCAGGCTATATGAACAGAGAGCATATTTGGAAACTTGTGAGATAGTGAACAGGAGCGACGAGTGCAGGAGAACAGCTAGTGGTTTTTCTGCGATTGGGGAATAGAGGTGAGTATTAGAAAGTTCCCATTTCTTACACTAAGTAAAATATGATGATTTGTAAAACCCTTTAATCCACCACTGAATTTGGTTTGTTTAATTTACCATTCAAACCGACGGTTGCGGTTGGCGTGATGTCAGATGCTATATCCGAGTCCTAATAACAGTTGGTCATTCGTGCAGTGGCTACCACTGCACACGTGAGCCAATGGCATGACTATACCTAATTCGCTGATGCTAATGCAAAATGTGAAAAACGATGACAGCTCTAATCCCAAGCATCCGCGAGATATGTGCACTGATGCTGCGACAATATTGGGGACTTCATTTGTGCGTTTGACAATTGAAAACTCTGAATGCTGGGAGCGCATGGTTGGTGTTCATCCCATCGTAGCATTTTACACAAACACCATGTCACATGTCTTGCCGTGTGGGAGTCAACATTTGCCTTTTGACCCTGGTGCAAAACAGACAGCAAGTGATATTAACCGGGTTGCCACTGTTTTCGTCTGGTTCGTGAATGCTTTTGACCTGCGGTTTCTATGCTGTCGCGGTCCATGTCTGCATACAAATTAGACCAATATCCAAAGAATGAGAAGGTGAAGAATTGGGGACAGACGTTTTGAGTGACGAAGGCGGCAGGGTCAACCCACGTGGTAAGAGTGTGCATTGGGTGTCCTGTCAGGTTGATGGAGGTTACCAAGTCCGCAGTCACTGACCGCGTTCACTGCATGTAGTGGTGGTGAGAGGCGAGAGGTTTCCAATTGCCGTGAACAGTTAAGGCTTTTCTATCATTGCTCCAATTCGCATCGCATTTCACTGCATTGGCAGCATCTGAATTACTATGCTTCTTTTGTTATGGAGAATACTTTTAATGTGAATTTGTGCAAGTCGAAGGCGTTTGATGCGTTCCAATGCACGGCACAGCGACATAAATTCGTGATGGCAATTGCAACTTCAAAAGCAATTCACTTTGACATTAATATCGCTTTCCCACTTGAACCACCATTTCAAAATCTATGAAGTTCATTTAGCAAAAATTGATGGTAAAACAATTTGCTAATAGTGCAGATTTTATATTCTATCCAACTATTTGTCGCAATGACATCTCCAACTTATATGACTGGCACTTCACCAGATGCTGGGCCAGACTTTCCTGCCATACATGCTCCCAAATGCTGCATTTTGGTTGGGAATTTACTCTTATGACTGAATTCAAAGTGACCGCAAGCCTACAGAGAAGTGCAACATGAAATCTTGTGAAATGAATATGTTCTAATTCGGACCCCTTTTTATCAAAGGAGGAAAAGAGTAACCAATTCTTTTCCAGGTTGTACAAACATCATACAAAATTAGAATGTCCAGTGGCATTGTCAGTTGAATTGGACACCATTTCACCATATCGCACTACCGGAAAATAGAGGCAATATCGACCCACTACTTGAGGTTTGCACACATTAAACTGGGGTGATGTATTTTAGAGGCCGTGTGAAGTCAAGGTTGGATTGAGACTGCTATTAATCAAGCTGTGGATGAATTGGCTCATTTGCATTACATTATGATGTGGGACTCACACATGGTTTGCAGAACAGATGCAATATAGTCTTGTGCAAAAAGGGTAAAGTGGGTGATTGTGGCCTCTACGAGGAGTCACGAGCAACGACAGTGTGGCATGTCGCATGTCTACACCCAGTGCCAGACGCCTGTCTTTGATGAGGCTCACACTGTATTGCAGCATACGCTTAAGTAGAGCAATTTTTTGCAAAGCTTTGCCAACTAGACCTTCCTCTAGTGAATCTTTTTAATTCGAGTGTCAGAATTTGTAGGAAAAGTAGAGGAATAATGAAATTATTGCGTTCGAAAGGATTTTCAACCCATAGGCTTGAACAGAAGATCGCGTTGCTGAGCTGAAGCTAACTCCGTAGAGACTGAAGAGTCCCCACAGGTAACTAACCATTTAAATAAGAAAAAGAAACTAATCAGCTCCTATTCTAGTCGCAAACATTTCTGAGCCATGTGTGTGATTATGCCATAACAATGTCAGCGAATTCATTTGCTTCTTTGAAAATTGAAAACTGTGAATCCTGGGTGCACTTTACAAATGTTCAATTCGTTGTAGGATTTTGCAAAAATATCATTCTTTCTCCTCTTTATGTCACGTCCTGATGTGTGGGAGTCAACATTGGGCTTTTGAGCATGATGTGAAACAAAACGCAAGTGGCATAAACTGGGTTGCCACTGTTTTGAACTGGCTACCAATACTTGTGATCTGCAGATTCTATGTGGTGGCGATGCATGTCTGCATACTAACTAGACCAAAATGCAAACACTCAGAAGGTGGAGGTATGAGGACAGGCGACCTGAATGACCAAGGCGACTGGGTGAACACATGCGTGATGTGTGTGTATGTGTGTGTGGGCGCATGCGCATCCAGTCTCGCTGATGGAGGTCACCATAGTGTGAGTCAGTGACTGTGACCACAGCATCAAGTAGTGCTGATGATGGGTGAGAGGATTTCCTTGTGCTGTGAATGGTTTAGGCTTTTCTATCATTGCTCCAAATCGAGCGGCATTTCGTTGCATAGGCAGCATCGGGATCGGTTCACGTGTTTGTCACCTCAACGATGCAGTCAAGGAAACACGATTTGTGCATTATGGCAGTCTCCCATTAATGCTCGTGTTGTGGAGAATATCGCAAATTGTGGGAAAGCAACACTCCTATGCGATACCTTGTAAATGAACTGACGCCATTTAACTTTGGACACGGTTTCCCCCTCCGATCAGATTCACGGTCAGCAGTTGGATACAGCAAATAAGAGTTCCACGCGATCTACGTACAAGTTGAACGTCAGGCAGCTGAAATGCCTTAATCCCACCGATGATAAATCACTACTTAGGAAGTCGTCGAAGAAGGTTAAAGGCCTTGACCTTAATCGTGGGTGAATTCTGCGAGACCGTTGTTCTGCTGCATAAGCGCAGGAGCACAGTCTCATTGCAAGTGAGTTCACTGCTGCAAATGCTGTTGAGCTTTCTTGGTCTCAATCACCGCAACTTACCCATTCTGATTGCTTAGACCTGATGCAGAAGCAAGGATGGTGGCTGATTTGGATGAGACAGTCACAGTAGGCATCCAAACGCTCATCGACATTTCCCTATGCTTCTCTGGGCCCATCTGTTTGCCTCATGCCACAATTGCTCCTCTTGATACCCAATTAGGTGCTTCTACAGCTAATTAAAATGGCTTATGAAAGGTGTGTGGATGTTTAATGGTTAGCGGACAAAACAGCAGCAACATTGCAGGAAGGGTAGATCCTAATTGTCATTCATCTGAGGTACCATCAGGTGACTTGCTCAATGAGAAATATTCCACTTCCCTGCACTCTGCCCAGAATGATGCATTGTTTCCTTAGTTGAAGAGTTTTGCAGAAATTGCGATTTCTTTTATTTGGCCTCCACCAATGCCCTCCACATTCTGATGACTTTCTTTGCCTTGCTATGCATAATCACACAAGCAGTAACTGCTATTTATTTGCAATAAGTAGTCATGGAGTAAATATGTGGCACCATTGGCGAATGGCATCAGAACGCCTATGGATGACAGTGAAGGGTGTGTTTATTGGCTAAATGAGTGCGTAAGCTAGTAAGTGGTCACGCGGAAGCTATAAATTCCTTGCAATGATATGTTTGTCGACTTTGGGTAGTCGAGATAGAAAAGGAACGATTCCCGCAGTTCAAATACACTGACTTACCCTTGATAGAAAGGAATTATGCCAACCCCCACATCGACGTCAACACCATCAGCGGTATCAGTGACAAAGAGCTAACCAAAAATTCACGCATGCTCTGACTGTCCTCACTGAATGCGACCTCACGCCTTGCCCTGCCTCGGCATGCATCATCTGTCATACCTCACCCATCACAAACTCTCCTCTAACGCCTTTATACCCCGCATCAACACGCCTTCTTCTCTCCACAAATCTACTTAACGGTGAGATTTGAAAACTGCCTTCTCTCCATATGCTGTGAAATCGCTTTCACCCAGACTTTACACTGCAGAAAGCCATTACGCCACGGAAGAACATGGGAGCAGTAAAATAGCTGTGGTACATG